ACACACACACACACACACACAGACATTCTGTAAACATTTGGGGTTGATTATTTCCGCACATGCATAAATTTATATCAGCTGCTGTGTATGATTCTCTTTTCTCCACAGCTATTAAACATCCTTAATATTAAAATAAAATTCAAATATAAATAAATAATTTATATAATAATAATAATAATAATAATAATAATAATAAATAATAATAATAAATAATTATATAATAATAAAATAAAAAATAAATTAAATAATTATAAAAAATAATGTTTAAAAAATATACTACTATTAGTAATAATAATAATAATAATAATAATAATACACAATGCAAAAAGATAAAAGATTAAAAGCTTATATATATATATATATAAAGCACCAATTGTGATCCATCAGACTTACTCTGTAAACATTTGGGTTGATTATTTCTGCACATGCATAAATTTATATCAGCTGCTGTGTATGATTCTCTTTTCTCCACAGCTATTAAACATCCTTAATATAAAAATAAAATACAAATATAAATAAATAATTTATATAATAATAATAATAATAATAATAATAATAAATAATAATAATAAATAATTATATAATAATAAAATAAAAAATAAATTAAATAATTATAAAAAATAATATTTAAAAAATATACTACTATTACTAATAATAATAATAATAATAATAATACACAATGCAAAAGATAAAGATTAAAAGCTTATATATATATATATATATAAAGCACCAATTGTGATCCATCAGACTTAATAAATAAATAAAAATAATAATGATAGAGGGGGCTAATAATTCTGATTTCAACTGTTATAAAGCACCACTTGTGATCCATCAGGTTTAATAATAATGATAATAATAAATAATTTATATAACAAAAACAAAATTATTAAACTGAATAAAATTATAATTAAAATTATTATTTAACAAATATAATAATAATAATAATAATAATAACAATAATACTTATTGCAAAAGATAAGAGATAAATAAAGCACCACTTGTGATCCATCACTTAATAAATGAATAAAAATAATAATAATGATAATAATTTATATAATAATAAAATTATTAAACTAAATAAAATAATGATTTAAAAATATTTCTTAAATATAATAATAATAATAATAATAATACATAATGCAAAATTTAAATGAGATTATAACAGTATAAATGTATCAAGTAAGAAAAATCAAGCTCAAACTAAATAAAACATTTAGTAAACATACAAATACAGTGCAAAATAAAAAGGTAAAAAGAAAAATATTATTTTTATTAATTAAAATCTATTATTTCTATTAAAACAATAATTCAGTTGCACTGTATTTTAGGATATCCATACAGCATTACAATGTAACTATTCATTTACTCCATGGTTAGAATCTGGAAGAGGGATAGGTCTAGGAATAGTTGCGCATAACTATGCATAATTAATTGTAAGCACTATAGTAATCACACCTGTACCAAAGCGATCTCAAAATAAAATGTTAGCAATCATTCCTGCTCAAATAATTACTCCTCAATCCTCCAGCAGGGATCAGTAGTGAGTCAAGTGTAACATTAACATACAGTGAGCCACACCCTGTTATACACTGTTATAAAAGCTGCCCTGCAGCGCTTATAACAGCATCAATCAATGCACATATATAAGCAGGACGGCTTTAAATCAAACTAGTTCAGGTAAACAGCCCCTAAAGTGGCTGGTTTTGCACTCAGTGTGTAGCATACCTGTCAACATTGGGATGTGAAAATAAGGAATACACTCCCCCGCCCAAAAAATACAACAAAAAAAATAACATGAAACTACAGTGGCCGGGAAGTGCAAAACAATATTACAAAGTGTGACACACTTATACAAAGTTCGAGACAAATTTACATATTGAAAAACATTTTTACTTATCATAAGACACAAATACATAAGAAAAACTATTTTATCAAGGACGAAACAAATTTACATTTTAGAAAAAAAATAACGAGACGCAAAACACTTTTACCAGCCCCGAAACACATTTACAATTACAGATTCCTTACGGAAAGCGACGCGGAATGTACCACACACCGGGAGCGACGCGGAATGTACCACACACCGGGAGTGACGCGGAATGTACCACACACCGGGAGTGACGCGGAATGTACCACACATTGGGAGTGACACGGAATTTACCACACATTGGGAGTGACGCATAATGTACCACACACCGGTAGTGACGCGGAATGTACCACACACCGGGAGTGATGCGGAATGTACAACACATCATGAGTGACACGGAATGTACCACATGCGGAATGTACCACACACCGGGAGTGACACGGAATGTACCACACACCGGGAGTGACGCGGAATGTACCACACACTGGGAGTGACACGAAATGTACCACACACCGGGAGTGACACGTAATGTACCACACATCGGGAGTGACGCGGAATGTACCACACACCGGGAGTGACACAGGATGTACCTCAAACCGGTAGTGACGCGGAATGTACCACACACCGGGAGTGACGCGGAATATACCACACACTGGGAGTGACACGAAATGTACCACACACCGGGAGTGACACGTAATGTACCACACACCGGGAGTGACGCGGAATGTACCACACACCGGGAGCGACGCGAAATGTACCACACACCGGGAGCGACGCGGAATGTACCACACACCGGGAGTGACGCGGAATGTACCACACACAAATAGTTTATGGTGACCGAAAATGAACTGTGGTCGAGGGATGTTTTGCCCGTTTTGTGGCAAACACATAAGCTGCTTAACGCAGTTTTGCTTTACGTGTGGTCAATGTTTGGAGGTTCCAAAGGACGCGGATCAGACGGAAACACCAGACATACTGCATACGATTAATAAAGGGACTAAGCTGACAAGAAAATGAATAAATGAATGAATGATTAAAGAATAAATCTCTCATTTAGATTTTTGGTTTGATTATACTGTATAACAGAGGCGTCACTTTAAGAATCCACAGGATGGATCTGATAGAATGGTAAAATACGGGAACCCCATAAAAAACAGGAGTGTTGACAGGTATGGGTTTGTATGTGTTTATGTGTCTGATCTGAGGTCAGTGTTGGTGATGTGAAAGTGTCCCTCACCCCTCTCTGTCGATGTGCGGCAGGTGTTTCGGTGTTCCTCTGAAAGGCCTTCGGTGAAACTGAGAGAAATCCAGCTTCTCCGGCTGCATGTCCCACGTCGCACCGCTGTCAACACAGACCACACATACAGTTAAAGGTAACAATATCAACTACATTTGAGCTCTTAATTTTTTTACATTTAACATTTGCCAAGTGCTGTTTAGCCGTTTATTGTAGAAAACAAAAGTACTTTTATCTTGGCCATGATCACAGCACATATTATTTGACTAGATATTTTTCAAGATACGAGTGTATCAGCTTAAAGGGACATTTAAAGGCTTAAATAGGTTCATTAGGCAAATTATTGGACTACAGTGTTTTTTTCTATAACTAATAAATAAAAAAATTTACATTACATTACATTGACCATGTCAGTTTTGGTTATTTATTTATTTTATATTTTATTTTTTATTCCAGCCAAACTTAAATAAAAACTTTCTCTAGGAGACAAATCTACTAGTAGATACTGTAAAACGTTTTCTTTCTCTGTTAAACAAGAATGATAATTTTGCCTTCAACCGCTATCTTTGACTGCAGCAACTAACCATGTTAATGAAAATATCATATTTAATCATCATAACAATTTTAGTACAGGAAAAAAAAAATTATATATATATATATATATATATATATATATATTTTTTTTTTTTTTTTTTTTTTTTTTTTTTTTGTTCACCCCCTGTTTATTTTTTTCCCCAAATTTCTGTTTAACAGACAGCAGATTTCTTCTACACATTTCTAATCATAATAGTTTTAATAACTCATCTCTAATAACTGATTTATTTTATCTTTGCCATGATGACAGTACATACAGTACAATATTTGACTAGATATTTTTCAAGACACTTCTATACAGCTTAAAGTGACATTTAAAGGCTTAACTAGGTTAATTAGGTTAACTAGGCAGATTAGGGTAATTAGGCAAGTTATTGTATAACGATGGTTTGTTCTGTAGACTATCGGGAAAAAATATAGCTTAAAAGAGCTAATAATTTTGTCCTTAAAATGGTGTTTAAAAAATTTAAAACTGCTTTTATTCCAGCTGAAATAAAACAATCAAGACTTTCTCTAGAAGAAAAATATTATCAGACATACTGTGAAAATTTTCTTGCCCTGTTAAACATCATCTGAAAAATATTTAAAAAAGAAGAGAAAAATTCAAAGGGGGCTAATAATTCTGACTATATATATATATGTGTATATATAGTATTTTATTTAATGTTTTTCTTTTTATCTTTTGTCTTTAGTTTTATTTGGTATGTATTTGAGTAAAATGTTAAGTTGTTTTATTAAAAAAAAAAGTCTGATATAGAATTTAATAAGCACGATTTCATGATAATAAGCATTTCTTTTTTTTTTTAGAATAAGCATTTCTACTCATTGTTATTGAAAATAAAGACACCTTTTTATAATTAATTAATTATTATTATTATTTAATAATCTAAATGACATAACTTTTATACTAAATTGAGAAGAAATGTTATTAGTAGGCCTAGTTAACAGAAAAAAAATCTTGTTTTACTTAAACACAGACTTTAAATGCATTGTGAGTATTCTCATGGCCATCTTTGTCTTTTTTCTGTGAACGACTAATAACATTTCCTCCTACTTTCAAATAAAAGCTGTCATTCAGAGCATTTTTTAGCAGAAAATTGAAAAGGGTGCGTTATTGTTCTGTTGAGCACTGTGAAACTCTGTTAATCTCCAGAAACTGGAGACATGCTTATAAGCTCAAATCTCTGTAGAGACCACAATTAGCTCAGGCACATTTTCTTTTTCCCGTCCTAAAATCCGCTGAATAAGTCTAGAGCTTGAAAGATGATATAGTGCCCTAAACATATTACAGCACTATAATTGAGAACTTGCACAGTGCATGTACAGAAAACACACTGAAAAATACAGAAAAAAAGTGCTGTATTACACTATACAAGACATTTATAATTAATAGAAATGCTGCTTTTCTTTAAAAAAAAAAACATAAAAAATGAAAAATGAAATATGAATCAACATCTGATGGCAATCATAAATATTGATTTTTCATCAAATTATCACATCATAAAAGGATAATGTAATGCAGAAGATTGGAGTAATGATGCAGAAAATTCAGCTTTTACACCAGAGCAATAATTACACTTTAAAATATATTCCTATAGAAATCCACTATTTTGGTTTGTAAAAATATTTCACATTTTTACTAATTTTTATTGTATTTTTGGTCAAATTTATGAGCAAATGAGATTTTATAAACATTTTTAAATACCTTCCCATTCTCAAACTTTTGAATGATATAGTCAACCCAGTAGAAAATTAATGTCATTTGTTTCTACACAGCACAGATCTAATATCTTTTAATTTAAAGAAATATTAACATATTATATAAAATATGAACCAACACAACTGATCGCAAGCATAAATAGTTATTTTATGTCAAATCATCACATCAGAAATATTTCTGAAGATTAATGTGATGCAGAAGACTGGAGTAATGATGCCGAAAATCCAGCATTTAAATCACAGGATAAATTACACTTTTAACTATATTTGCATAGAAAATTATTATTTTTGTTTGTAAAAATATTTCAGATTTTTTCCCCATTTTTATTGTATTTTTGGTCAAATTTATGAGCAGATGAGATTTTAGAACATTTTTAAATACCTTCCCATTCTCAAACTTTTGAATGATATAGTCAACCCAATAGAAAATTAATATCATTTGTTTCTACACAGCACAGATCTATAATTTTTTAATAATAATAAAAAAACATGAGCATATTATATAAAATGTGAACAACACAACTAATCGCAAGCACAAATAGTTATTTTACATCAAATTCTCATATCAGAAAGATTTCTAAAGGATAATTTAATGCAGAAGACTGGAGTAATGATGCAGATAATTCAGCTTTGAAATCACAAGAATAATTAAATTTTTAAATATATTCCTATAGAAATCCATTTTTTTGGTTTTTAAAACTATTTCAGATTTTTTTTAATTTTTATTGTATTTTCAGTCAAATTTGTGAGCAGATGAGATTTTAATAAACATTTTTAAATACCTTCCCAGGCTCAAACTTTCGAACAACATATTCAATTTAGAAGTGAATTGATGTCATGTGTTTGTACACAGCTTACAGGACTAATATTAAAACCATCTAGCTTTAATAAAAAGACAGGCAAAGAAGCTGCAGTAGCTGACGGCCTCATTAATTCAATTTAGTCTGAGTTTTAAATTAGACCGTGAGTCAGCACCGCAGAAGCAGAAACACCAGAGCAGATGAACATATATTCTCTGATCTTTCTAATACAAACATGCGACTGTGATTTAAAATGCATATGTATATACACATCACATTTCGTAATAATAGCTATAATTATGGCTATATAATAATAGCAACAATGCAAGTTCTAAATACAAAACAAAACTGCTATTGTCAAAATGACACTGTAAAATGATAAGTATTTTGTACAGTATATACGGTGGAAGTCAATAGCCCCTTTCACACATACAGACCTTTCCGGAAAATTGCCGGCAATTTTCCGGAAAGGTCTGTATGTGTGAACAGGTGCTTTTTAAAAATACCGGTAAATTCGTTCTGGCTATTTTCCGGAAAGAGAAGTTGTAACATTACCAGCAATTTGCCGGAATGCTGCGCTGTGTGAATGCAGAAGGAAGATTCTCGTAATAAGCGCGTGCACGTCTAGAACGTGCTGACGTGAGACGTCTGCTTTAGCCAATCACAACAGTCAGACACATTTACGTCCGCGCGGTTTGTGAAAATAAAAACCTTTGAATATTTTTCCAGACACATTTAGCTGCTAGAAGTTAGTCAGATCACGTTTATATGTTCTTCTTTATGCCAACTGTGTAAATAATCATCGATGAGATGCTTATGATAAGCCATTGTTTGTTTACCTTCAAGCTTTGCGTGTGCCTGTGAAACAGCCTGTGAGCGCCTGCACACGCACATATTATGAACATCTCGACATGCGAAAGTGATCCTGCGAAAGTTGTTCACAATATTGATCATCCACAGAGTTTGTAATTTAGTCAAATGTTTACAAATACAAGCGCAGCCGTTTAAAGCTCATTTGTGGTGAATGATGTCAGAATTTACCGGTATTTTGGGATGGATGCGTGAATGCTCTTTTCCGGAAAATTTCCGAAACGTCCTCGTCTGTGTGAACAGCGCTTGTTTGAATATACCGGTAAAGTCGTTCCGGAAATTTTCCAGATATTTACCGGTATCACTGTGTGAAAGGGGCTAATATTAATCGCCCTTCTGTGAATTTGTCTTTTTAAAGTATGTCCCAAATGATGTTTAACAGATTTAGGACATTTTCACATGTCTCACATGTTTCAGTATGTCTGATAACATTTTTTTCTTCTGGAGAAAGTCTTATTTGTTTTATTTCAGCTGGAATGAAAGCAGTTTTTAATTTTTTAACAAACATTTTAAGGTCAATATTATTAGCCCCCTTCAGCAATATTTGTTTTGGATTGTCTATAGAGCAAACCACTGTTATGTCTGTGTGTGCATGCCTGTTTGTTTGTGTGTGTGTGTGTGTGTGTGTGTTTGTTTGTTTGTGTGTGTGTGTGTGTGTGTGTGTGTCTGCTTCCTTGTGTTTGTCTGTGTGCGCCTGCATGTGTATTAGTTTGCTTCCTTTAGTTTGTTTGTGTGCGCAGGTTTGCTTGTATGTGTGCATATTTGGTTGTGTCTGCGCGCTTGTAAGCTTGTTTGTGTGTTGGCATTTTGTGTGTTTGGTGTTTGTGCATGTCTGTGTTTCCTTGTGCGTTCATGTGCAAATGTGTGTTTGCTGATGTGTATTTGTGTGTGCATGTGTTTGTGTGTGAGTGTGTTTGCTTGTGTCTTCACTTGTGTGCATGTGTGTGTTTGTTTGTGTCTCTGTATACGTGCGCATGCACCTGTGTTTGTGTCTGCGTGCATGTGAGACTCACCCGTGACTGTCCAGGTTCGCAGCCCAAATGTCTGTCCCGAGGATGTCGAAAGAACCGTCTCTGTTTCCATTCTAACACACACACACACACACACACACACACACACACACACACACACACACACACAGACACAGACACACAGACACACAGACACACACACACACACACACACACACACACACACACACACACAGTAACACTGTCAGTGCTTTAACAGGTTGATGTTGTTTTCCTGATGGCATCAATATAGAGTTTTTGTCCTGACCTTTGCTGGAGCTCTGAACTGGTTGTTTCGTCCTCTGCTGCCTGATCTGGAACCAGAACCAGGTCGAGAACCTGAACTGGGTCTAGAACCAGTGCTGCCATTACTGCTGTGCTCCCAATCATCCTAAAAGACAGAACACATCCAATCACATTCATGAAATCACTCAACATCTACTGGACATGTTATAAACCGTGATCAAGATCAACAATAACAGTCTCATCCTTCAGTTTCAATTTATTTTCATTGATTACAAGTTATTTTTATATACAAGTTTATGTCAATACCAAGCAGCAACCTCCCGCTCTCCCTCAGGAAGCCAATACGGAAGTAACTAAAACTGAAATTCATCTGAAATTCCGCTAGTCGTGGCCGCTCCTGGCTCCATAATAGAGCAAATTTCAGTTGAGCCCACTGTTAGAATGGCCAACTTTACAGCAGAAAAAAAGGTGTTTACAGCCTGCTACAAAAAAAGATTTTGTTTAATACAGCTAATATTACCCTTAATGACAACTGTGAGGGGGTGAATTTTTTTATAACTCATCTGTTTCCTTTATATTAAGTTATATCAAGTTTGCATAATTAAGGGCGTGGCCACTTGAGTGACAGCTAGGTCTCACTGGTCGCCGTCACGTCACCTCAGCTGAATCCTGCAGATTAGCCACTGAACTCGGCATATTTATCTATTTCTGTGTTGTTTTATATGGCTTTACACAGTCAACTGCCTTTTGGACTTGTTTCCTACAATTATTAGATGGCTTGGCATGCTGAGTGCACATAATTGTGCTCACAAAACATTCACGTGGCCTCCGTTTCCCATGTGAGTAAAGTTATATACTTATATACCATCTCTATACGTGTATTTGTTTTATTTAAGATCATTTATCGTTTAAATTTATATTAGAGCTGTAATGCACTCCAGAATCTGACAGATTGATTAGCTGTAGGCTCTAGAACAGTCGTCTGAAGCGTTGTCATACAGTGTCATGCTGGATTTCATCAATAGTCTTACATTAACTGACACAGACTATATCTGAAGTGTTTGGAAGTAATTTGCGTTTTCCTCCTGTTGAAAAACGTCATAAGAACAATGTTTAGTGGCTCAGTGTATTACAGCAGTGTTTTTAAAGGTCTAAACCAAGCACAGGTGGTCAGAATACAAACGAGTCGCAGGTGATAAAGTATTAAGCGTTCTCCTAAAGTAAAGTGTGTCTGAACCAGGTCCAAGCAAACTGCCAGCAGGTGTCTGTAGCTCCGCCCACTCTCCGCCTTTTTGCCCTTGTTTGGTATCCTGCTGTGGGTGTGATGACGCGCTAACAAAATGGCGGCAGTTAGCCGCGCCTACTTGTGGCTTCTTTTGCGCTCTTTAGAAACCTATGGGTGACGTCACGGACACTACATCCATATATTTTACAGTCTATGGTCAATACTAACAAAACCCAAACATTTGATATGAATTCTCTGAAAATAAGTTCTAATATTAAGTCAAAGTAGGTCTAAATCGCATCGTAAAGAAGAAAAAACATCACATTTAATAACCCAATTTACAGATAATGTGAAATTTAAGAATATTACAGATTTTAGGATGCATTTTAGCTCCTCTCAATCAGCAAAAATAAAGAAAAAGCTATTTTTTAAATAAAAATTACAGTGGCAGTTATTCTAAAATGGTTTAATCTAAAACTTGAACAATATAAAACAAGTATAGATCGATTCCTGTGACTTAAAGAAACACCAGGAGTTTCTGGAATCAGATCTGAGTTTCAGTAGTCATGTCAAAGCAATTAGTAAATCAGCACACTATCATCTCAAACACTGCAAGAATTAAATGCTTTGTTTCCAGTGAGGACTTAGAGTAACTTGTTCATGCTTTTATCAGCAGTAGGGTGGATTACTGTAATGGACTCCTCACTGGCCTTCCCAAAAAAACAGTCAGACAGTTGCAGCTCATCCAGAATGCTGCCGCCAGGATTCTGACTAGAACCAGGAAATCTGAGCACATCTCTCCTGTCCTCAGGTCTCTACACTGGCTCCCAGTTACATTCAGAATAGATTTGAAAGTATTATTACTGCCCTATAAATCACTAAATGGCCTAGGAGCTCAATACATTACAGATATGCTCACTGAATACAAACCCAACAGATCACTTTAGGATCAAATACACTTGAACTTCCAAGAGTTCAGTCAAAGCAGGGTGAATCGGCTTTCAGCTACTAACAGCGCCCCCTGCTGCTGGAATCAGCTTCCAGAAATTATCAGATGTGCTCCAACATTAGGTATGTTCACAACAAGACTGAAACACGTGTGTTTAGCTGTGCCTTTACTGAATGAGCACTGTGCTACATCCCGCAGATGGCATTATGTCTTTTTTATATTATTTTGTCACACTTTTTAACACATTTATTCCTGTTTATGTGAGCACTTTGAATTGCCACTGTGTATGAAATGTGCTATCGAAATAAACTTGCCTTGCCTAGAGTTTTACCGTTTCCCTCTGGAGACTATTATAAATACTTATTTACTAATTAACAAAAATGTCATATTTACTGTCATGCTGCGTTCACACCAGATGCGGAGCGCGCGCATAAATCGCACTATTTAAATAGCCGCGTGAACATTAGAGGTTACTCGCTTCATTCGCGCATCAAATTCGCTTCATTCCCGTGTCAAATTCACTTCGCGTCAGAACAGACGCGGATTCGCGTGATGGGCAGGGCTTCTGTCTGCCCGGTGACTCTAGCTTCATAGCTAAATGGCTAACATGGATTTTATGAAGAAAATAACAGTGTTTATGTGCTTTAGGAAGGCTGAAAAACAGCGTTGATACGTTTAGGGCCGTGACTGAGTCCACTACATGCTTTGAGAGGTGCATCCAGCTCTATGAGCTCATAAACTCCTCCAGAAACTGAACCTGGATGACGGGGGCTTTCAGCGGTGCTTCTGACTGAGCCAAGCCCAGTTTGATGAACTGTTGTCGGCGTCGGCTGAAGGATCCCTGGGACAGCCACAACAGGCCATACGTCACAATCATGCCCCCACAAGAGCAAGCTCCTGATTGGTTAACGCGGCTTGAATGTCCGCTAAAGTTCAGATTAACTAAAGGCTCGCCTCCACATTTAAGTTCGAACCCTGCAACAGTCAAATTATAAGGTTCACTTGAACGTAGGGCACACTGGCTTTTTGACCTATAAAGAAGGGAACTTGGGTATAAAGGCACCAGACTTAGAAGAGCCTTGTAGACTAGAGTCATCCAGTGGGTGTACTGTCTTACATACAGAGAAGGCCACTCAGCTTTGGCATAGAGTTCACAATAGTGATATAGTCTACAACAGCCTGTAACAAACCTTCCAGCCACAACCAATCACTGGGAAACACCCATACACTCTTGCATTCACTCACATACACTATGGTCAGTTTAGCTTACCCAAATACGGCGCATGTGTTGGGACTGTGGGGGAAACCGGAGCACCCGGAGTAAACCCACGTCAACACGGGGAGAACATGCAAACTGAAATGTCAACCGGCCCAACCGGGACTGGAACCAACGACCTTCTTGCTGTGAGGAGATCGTTCTACCCACTGCGCCGCCTTGTCGCCCACCACCAAATGTTTACAAGCTTTAAGAGAAAAGCAGGATGCTCAATTGCACACGTAAAGCAAATGAGTCTTTCAGCTCATTCGAAACGAGTTCATCAGATTCTACCGAGCATGTGCAGAACTACATCACATGACATCAGTGAAAACGTTCAGAGCAGGGATTGAGTGACATCATCACAGCGATGCAGAGGTCATGACCTCAGACTACAATACCGTCACTGTGCTGTTCACAATGATCTCTCACACACCCATCACACACGCACAGAAGGCAGGGCATCTGACCTTCTCACGTCTGCCCGCTTTAATATTTAATATACACACAGATTACCCTTATGGCTGACAGCTTTAGCCTGCTCCAGTGTCACTAATGAGGGAACATCAGTAATGCGTCGCACGAACCGTATGCGAGTCACCACGAATGCAAAATGCAAAACAATTAATTATAAATGGAATATTGCTTAATTTATTGTTTATCCATGCATATCATTTGATCCAATTCACACGCTCTAGTAATATCTAATTAAAAATCCTGCCAACATCTATGACATCGTTTCACTTCTGATTTCCAGCCGATCATTAATTCTGTTTATTTACTTTAGTAAATGTGTGTAAATGTATATTTATTGAGTTTTTAAATTAATCACAGTAATATTATTGACTATTATGAAAATGTTCATCTGATTTATGCACAATGCAGTGTGTACAGAAATATTTTCTGTCTTTTAGTAGAGATATTATGAGAGACTTGCTTTGTTTACCAAATGAAGTTAATCTAATTGGATTTGCATTACAAACATTAAATAAAAGTTAAAAATGTATTACTTTTTATTTCATAAATTAACCAGTTAAACTCTGCTGCTATTTTGGGATTTCCGCCTAGAATTTGCCAACCCAAATGTAAAAGCATTTTCATATTTCACTATTCTTTTGTTTGATCAAACATAATTCACTGTGTTTGGACCACATCAGACATATAAAAGGATTACTTATGCACATCATCTCAAAAACAGAGGAGAAATGGCCCTGAAGCACACAGCATAAGGTAAGAGATGACAGCTGTCTGTGCTATCTGGGGCTGCTTAATGATCATAAATGTATTGTTTTCACTTCTACGCCATTGAAACACCGCGATTCATTCGGCAACTGTTTAAAATGTGAATATAATTCAGTAAAAAGAACGCTAAAACCGAATGAGCACCGGCAAGATATGAAAAATATGAAGATGAACCAATGTTCAATACCCAGCTCGGGTATCCAGAATACTGTGTATTTAAGTGTAAATAAACCCGGTACAGGGTTCGTGGAGTTAACTGGTTAAGGTTTTAGTTCTCATACTCCCAAAATAATTCTGCAGAAACCAAAATACCAAAATTCTCCGCAGAAATAGCAAAAAAAGTCCGCAGATTCCGCCTGGCCCTAGTTTTCTGACATGAAGGCAGGATTAAAATGTCACTCGCATGACTCACATTGTGGCCACTAGAGGGCGTCTTTTCACAACAAACTAATTTGTAGTTTGGCGATGATGGTGACTTGAGTGTGGAATCATGGGAGTTGTGGTCTTCATTACATCATGCAGGACTCTGGCAGAAATCATGTCGATGGATGAGCTGAAGTATCAAAATAGTCAAAAAAATTTGTCATTGGTAATGTTGCGTTGTTTTTGCAACGTGTTATGAGCTGTCAAACAGCATGTGTATATATTTCCTGTAAATGAATAGCAAATTGTGGCGTGTTGCTAAACATTTAAAGAAGTTTGGCCAGAGGAGAAATGGTCATGCCCGACTGAGCTTGGTTTCTCTTGAGGATTTGTTTCCTTCACTTTCGTTAATTGGGGAAGTTTGTTTTTCACCACTGGCTTGCTTGGTTTGGGACTTGTGGAGCTGCACATCGATGGATTACTCTTCAGTGTTTGGACTTTCAGCAGTGAAAATTAAACCACACTGAACAAAACTAAACTGAACTTCAACTCTGAAAACTGGACTGACACATTCTCATTTTACTAGAGCTTCCACGTTAAGCTGCTTTGACACTACAGAAATAAAGATGAATTCAAATGTGCATCTTGTGTTTTATTGATGACGTCATGAGCGAATAGTCGACATCGACTCGACTTTGAAAACATGAAAATCAACCACCAAAAATCTAAAGTCATTCAGACCCTAACAAAAAACTCACTGGTTTGGATGAGCCTCTTCCCCGTGAAGATGACCAGCTCCCGTCAATCTTATCACTGCAGTCTTCTGTCCACTGAAGGAAAAGACACATGTACAGACACACACACACAAACAGAGAGAAAGAGAGAGCGAGAGAGAAAGAAAAATCTTACTGTAAATAGTTTCAGGTGTTGGACATTTTTTTTTGTTGTAGTTTAAAAGTGCTTTCAAACCTGTGTTGCTCTTTGTTCTTGGTGCGGTTCACTTTCACACGGCAAAGTTTCTAACTGGACCACAAGAGCTAAAACTAGTCACGTGCGAGTAAACTCTCCTCACATTGGTCAGAGTTTCAGAGATAATTTCCAGAGTCCCGCTCAGCTGTCAGGGGGGGGGGGGGTAGTGGTTTGCTGGTGTTTGACAAGGTGCGCGCGACGTGTCTGAAGAGCGAGGACAGATGCGGTGGGGAGGGGTGAGAAGGGTGCGCAACGTATTTGAGGACCAGGAGGGAGATGCGCGATTTCCGGGAGATTATCACTCGTTTGCGGGCACCTGGGAGTCTCTGTGCAGTTTCAGGAGACTAACGAAACATCCGGGAGACTTTGGATCTCTGTAATGACCTTCCACCCTGCTCTTAATTTTTTCCTTATTTAGCCGTATGCCTATTACATATCCATAAAACACAGTGATATAACCGCGCTCGAATTGTATTGCTTTCTCACTGCAATCGATCCACTCCAGAGTTCGTTTCAATCGAGCCAAGACTACCTCATTCAATCGATCTCGGAGCGATTGTTTTGGTGCGGATCCGAGCACGATTGGTGGTTTTGCATATGCCAAACGAACCACGCTAACTGGGCAAACGAGACAGGTTCCGAAACAAAAGTGTAGGTGTGAAAGCACCCTAACATGTGAGGTGTGGGGCTAAGGCTAGATCCAAAATCATTCACTATATTCATACATCATACATATTCCCAGCTTTAAGAGTGCTTTCACATCTATGGTTCAGTTAGTTTGGTCAGCAAGGGCAACACACGATGCATTGTACCATTTTCTGCCGTTTTTGGGTCCTTTTCACACCACACTGATTGCTTTGGTCTGAACCAGTTGAAAAGAACCAAAATGCAGTCATGTGACAAAATCCACATCACTCAATAGCCAGATGTTATTGAACGTATTTCCTAAACAGCTTTGCGATTGGTCAGAATTAATGTGCAGGAAAATGCCAATGGAACTCCCGCAAGTGAACGAACCGGCAGACACAGAAAGTCGCTTTATACTATGCAGTTACGACTAAGCTGGCTGACTGTATCCCTGCTCACAGTATACTACATAGTTTATATAAATCACTTTAGACAAACTATACATTTCGAGAAAGAACTGCGGCTGGAAAACAATGTTTTAATGTATTGCAGATGGCGAAGGTGCATTGCACGTCGTATGAATTAATTTAGCTAAACTGCAGCATGGTCATCTTCCGGAAATATTACCAACGATCCATTAGGTAATGTTTTTCCCTCTCTCTCTCTGTCGTTAAAGCGAAGTCAACAAATATTTTTCCTCTACATCCCATAAGATGGGACAGCACATCGGACTATGGCAGCTGGATTAGTCCAAAAAGGCGCAGTACTTTTTGCGGTTGGGTCTGTTTTTATGTCGGATCATGTTCTCACCACAAACGAAACACTCCAGGGTTCGTTTAAAAGCGACTGAGACCACCTCTTCACCTCTTCTGCTTTTGAAAAACAGAAAAACTACACACAGCAGACATTCAGTCCTTATATGGGTTCAAAAACAACACAGACCATATAGGCCCAATTCCAATTCTATTTTTGTACCCCTACCCCTTTCCCTTGGCCCTCACAACCGAGGGTTACGGGGAAGGGCTTCAAAATTTACCCCTAAGAATTAGGACAGCACTACAGCACCTGCACACGCCATCATATGTCCTCGCGATCTCCTGCTTCTCCTCTGAGATCAGACAATGGCGACTGCTGTAGTGATTCCAGTTGTGTTATTTTTTGGTATTTATCTTCAGGAGACGACTGAAGGCATGTATTATGTCATCATAACGATCTAATGTGGCATTAAGATCGTAACTGCACTGAGTATTTACACAGTGGCCATATTCATCTACATAAAAACACCAAAAACAACATTAACATTATAGCAGACACTGTAAAAAGCTCATTGACAGCCACTAGACATTACTGACAGGGTATTTGAGTGTCAGAATGCTGTGGGACTGCTGTACAGGAGTTATCAATAGGGATTATAGATCGCGAAAGTTTGCGTTTTTTTGTGGTTTTTTTAAAGCATGAGGGTAAAACACGAACGCGGTCATGAATATGTTAAAACATATGTTTGTTGGTCATAAAAATTCATAATAATGACAAAAAAAATACTAATTTGTGGATCTCCTTATTTCCGCGTTCAGCAATACTGCCGCTGTTGATGGTGTATTCTGGGAAATTTTCTTACCCCTTGGTTTCAAGTGTGGTCCTGAAAAATCTTCGTCGAAGAGCTTTTCACCTCTTCCCCTTAGCCCTACGCCTTCAAGCTAAAGAGAATTGGGACCTCCCTTCCCCTTGGCGTGCACGCGCAAAATTGAGGGGTAGGGGTAAGGGCTAAGGGGTAGAATTGGGATTGGATCATAGTATAGCCCACAGTCAGAGCAAACCACTCATCTGTATCTTTAATCTTGACCAGCACATGTAAACTCTGTAAGAAATTAACTTCTTCATTCTGAGTTCATAATAGTCCAGAAGGTAATGATGATAGTTAAATATGGCAGTTTGATCATGTTTCAGGCTGCTGAAAGAATCATTTTCTTCTTTGTTTTTTTTACATGTCACTCTCGTCACGCGTCATTTGTCCATTTCTGAAAGGATCAGATGTCAGAAGCGCTTCAATAATCACGAGCACATGATTTTAATCGGCTCAAGAAGTTTGTTATTTCAAATATAAACATGCTGCGAGCGTACACGAGAATGGTAGATTCTGCTCTTCTTGGCTTTGTGGTTGTTCATCAAGACACGACAAGGTTCGTTTAAGCTCGGGTTGACCATGGCTTGTTATTAAATGTATATATCATTATGGTGTAATGTCTCTGCTGTGTATTTAAAAATAGCGCTTCCTTTGTTTTCATTCTCCTGCTTGTGTACGAGCTATTGATGTTTCTCTGTAAACCAATAGCGTTCAGCTGCATGTTTAGCTCCGCCTTTTGGTACCATTTCATCGTGTTCGATACCCCTCCGAAAGAATACCCAAAAAGTGCTACAGTGCGATTCGCTTTTTTGGTACCTTTTGACAGTGGAAACAGCCACAAAAGCATACCAAACCGTACCATAACACTCAGCGGAAATGGGCTATAATACAGTATCAGTATATATAACGTGGTACCTGTGAGGTGTGGGACAGGGTCTTGTCCACATCGGGGTCTGTTTCGTTCTTGTCGCTCAGCAGTCCCTGCACCTGGTACTCCAACACGTAGCTGTCGATGAAGCGCTCCAGCTCCTCGATCTCCTGCGAGCGTGTGCTACCCGCCTCTGACGACGCTGACGCCACCGATGAGCTCTCCATAGCAACCGGCCCAGTGTGAGGGAGGAGCAAGGGAGCTGCGGGCAGGGCAAAGAGGAAGTTAGTGACACAAACCCTAATAACAACAATCTTTAAGAATGACTATATAGTTAGAATAATTATTTAGAACAATATTTATTTATATTATTTAGAATAATATTTAGTAGAGTCGTTATACGTCTGGAATCAGAATTATTAGCCCCCCTGTATATTTTTACCCCAATTTCAGTTTGATGAAAAGATTTTCTTAACATTTTCTTCACTTTTCTAAGCATAATGGTTTCTTTAACTCTTCTTATAACTGATTTCTTTTATCTTTGCCATGACAACAGCACATATTTTTCAAGATTCTAGTATTCAGCTTAAAGTGACATTTAAAGGCTTAACTAGGTTAATTAGGGTAAAGTTAGGGTAATTAGACAAGTCATTGTATAACAGTGGTTTGCTCTGCAGACAATCCAAAACAAATATATTTTAAAAACGGGGGCTAATAATATTCACCTTAAAATGGTTTTAAAATAAAAACTGCTTCAGAACTACTTCAGGGGGTGAAAACGTCAGAATTGTTAAAATACTAAAACATTTCAAATTGTTTTGATGACTTGGAGAAATGTTTTAATCTGTATTAAACTTGTTCTTAGGCATTTAAATCAGCTTTCCTCGCTTCAGAAATGAAATGATGAGATGAAGTTCTCGACAAAGTAACTTACATGTACAAACTGAACAGAACAACTTGACAACACAAAGGAGAAAAGTAATGTAACTGTGCAAGTCTTCAGTTCGTGCACGACTTAAAGGACAAATAATCCCACAAAAAAATGCTTCACTAAAATGAAGCACAGGCCCTCGAGTCCTTCACACTTTATACTTATGCCTTCCACTGAGCTTCACATTACCTAATGAAGTCTCAAGGTAAAATAGAAAGAGAGAGAGAGAGAGAGAGAGAGAGAGAGAGAGAGAGAGAGAGAGAGTATAATCTGGTTTTAAGTCACTACTTGAATCGTGTCCAAGCAAAGAGGATTTACAACTGGAGCAGCAGCATCTTACCAGCACACATCCATAATAACACGCAACGGTCTTACGCCTTCAAAAGCAGAGCTGCTGGTATTTAAGATCATTTGACTGGTTTAGCAATTGTTCTCTGTACCACCCGTGATCTGTCAATGAATCCTTTGTGCGAATATTCATCATGTTTATTCGTTCATTTTCCTTCAGCTTAGTCCTTTTATTTATTAACCGCCAACTTATCAAGAATGTGTTTTACACAGCTGATGCCCTTCCAGCTGCAACCCAGTATTGGGAAACACCCATACATATTTGTTCACACACTTATACAATACGGACAATTTAGTTTACCCAATTCCCCAATAGCACATGTGTTTGGACTGTCAGGGAAACCGGAGCACCCAGAGGAAACCCACGCCAACACTGGGAGAACATGCAAACTCCACACAGAAATGCCAACTGACCCAGCTGGGACTCGAATCAGCCACTTTCTTGCTGTGAGGCGACAGTGCTAACCACTGAGCCACCAAACTAAAAGAAATAAGACTTTATTTCTCCACAAGTGGAAATGTAATAGGAAATACTGTAAAAAACGTCCTTGCTCTGTTAATCATCACATGGGAAATATTTGAAAAAGAATAAATATGTCTAATATTTATATATTGGATAGAGGATAGAGGAGTCTTCATACATTTTTTTTTAAACAAGATAACTTTTAATATAGTTATAAATACTTTAGGGCAGTGTTTTCAAACTGTGGGGCGCACCCCACCAGGGGGCACCAGCACCTATTAAGGGGGGGGGGGGGGGGGAGACATTGAGGCGTGCACTCTGAGGCGCGCACTAGAGTAAAATATGATGACGATTTTTATGCGTTCACTAGAGGGAGTAATATGATTATCATTAGCTCCACAGCTAACTATCAGGCACCTGTAGAGTTTATGCTTTCCAGTGAAACATACACAAAAACAATGGACCGAGTGCTTTTTAAAACTAGTGAATGAATGAAAGTCAAAGCATTGAGCCGTCTGACAAAAAAAAGTGCCCTTCTGGATATTTCAAATACTTGGAAGACGCTATTGACTACGCTTACATGGACATCTGTAATAGTTATTTGTCTTAATCTGAATAAGACAATGATAGAATAACGTGAAGTGTTTTTTGATTGTTGCGTCACCTATTTACATTTCTTGCGTGAAGTCACAAGTCTCCTAATGCAATTCTTGGTGTTTCATCTTTAATTTCTTGACTTTACCTGCAGTTCCGCAGTTTAACTTTTACTCATGAACATTTCATTCATGCCCCCATGACAAACTGGGATATTTGATGCGAATATGAAGGACTGGTGGAAGAGTGTTGTATTTATTGATACCGCACGTCGAATGGAAGAAAAAAAAAAAAAACTTCCGCATTTTGCGATGTGTGTGTGTGCAGTCCGTTACTGACAGCCACGTGGGTGGATCTTGTCGGAAAATATGTTGAAAAGTCCAACATAACGGTAATAGTTTGCTTGGGGTGTTTACTTCAATAATGCCACTAATATCTGCATACTGCACATGTCTTAATTCCATTTCTGTTTAGTTCAGTTATGACTTTAGTCGCATTAAGGTAATAAAATAAATAAAATAAATTTTAAAAAGTGCCATTTACATGGTAGACTCTTAATCAAGAGTATTGTCTTAATCATATTGAAATTGTATTGTTGCCCATGTACTGTAAACATACTCAATCTTCGACTCCACACTGTCAGGGCTCTGCCAACTTGGCTTCGTGGAGCAGCATTTTTCGTATGTACGTACATCGAAAGCAAGTAGGTGATGATTTACAATTAGTCGTTTCAGGAATCCGACCACAGATTAGCATGTTGTCCTCACAGAAACAGTCTCAGCCATCACACTGAACCAGGTAAGATGTATATTTATGTTTCAACGTAATTAACGCTAAGCACTTTAAACGCAACAAGTAATATGTGAATGATGTCTGCATATGCATTGTAATTTTGGCTCTAGGGAGGGGTGCTTGGGGGGGCGCGAGTGAAATTGGACAAACTTAGAAGGGGCGCGTGTCCTAAAAGTTTAAAACCCCTGTTTTAGGGGGCGGTCTAGAATGTAATTTTAAGGCTTGGTTGCATTTATAAGATGCAAGGCAATGAAGGCTCATGCTTCACTTGTAGAAAATCATATTATTTTTTCATTTATCTTAAGCCTGATTTATACTTCTGCGTCAAGTGACCGGTGTAACCCACGACGCATGCAACGCGCGTAGCTGTGCATTTATACTTATGCGCGCTGTCTCTGTTGGTCTGCATTAACACTTCCGAAACGCTAGTGGGCAGTGAGGTGTAAATGTTCCTCTTTGTTGAGTTTCTTCGCTGCTGTTTTGCTTTTCCTAAACACTTCCTGGATGTACAAGTGGCTCAAACTCGCTCATTTTGAGGCAGGAACCGGCAGACTTTAACTATGAGGTAAACACAAAACAAAACTTTCCATCATGAGCTCCTTCACGGGACTCCACACTTGTAAACAATCGCTCCATTGGGCTCGTGCTGCTCGCGCGGCTCTCAGTCCCACCCTTGACTTGTCAGCGCTCCCAAGCAGACCAATCACAGAGCTTGTGCTACGCGTCATTGCGATGTGTAGTTACATTTTTTGAGAGGTACGCGTCAGTGACGCCAACGGAAGGGCTACGCGTCAACCTTGTAATAACACTGACAGTGCATTTTTTTGCTATTTTACAACACTATTTCTCATACATTATATTATTAAAAATTACTAAAATGTTAATAAAAGTTACTTTGTTAAACTGTAGAGTTAAATTTCCAACATCAAAAGTGGACAGAGCAGAGATCAACATCCCATAATGCAATTCACAACCAGTAAATAAACTGAAAACACTTGTTAAAAGAACAGATATTTACAGTGCACCGACATATGAAGAAACAAAACTATTTTCAACATTAATCACAATCAGAAATATTTCTTGATGATGAAATCTTGATCTTATAATATCTTCTGAAAGATGGCGTGACACTGAAGACTCGAGTAATGATGATGCTGTAAATTCAGTTTATAATCAAAACAAATGCAGCATTGGTGGACTTCTGCATATCAGCCACAAAGAATGTAAACAAAAGGTGTTCATGTGTGACAGAAGTGCGTGTGTGTGCTGTGATATCAGCTGTTGATTGTAATGACAGTATGACTCACACACACACACACACACATGCACACTGAAGATGACAGCTGAGGGAAACACAGAAGAGTGTGAGAAAGCACATCAGCAGATGAGCGTGAGAGTTTTTGATTATCAGTAGATTGAGCTGGACAGCTTTAATGAGGATTGGAGATCTCTGACCTCTGCTGACTCCACAACACACACACACACACACACACACACACACACACACACACACACACACACACACACACACACACACACACACAAACACAAACAAACACACACACACACACACACACACACACACACACACACACACACACACACACACACACACATTACTTTTATGCTGCGTTCACACCAGACACGGAACGCGCATCAAGCGCGAGTGATTTACATGTTAAGTCAATGCAAACGCACAAATAGACATCCTGCGGCGCGAATGGCGCAGAGCGAATGACGAGAATTTCGCGAATGGCGCGGTGCGAATAGCGCGATACGCGCGAGGCGAATTGATCGTTTGCCGAATCTCTCGAGTTCGAAAATCTGAACTTCAGCGGACATTCGTGCCATGTTAACCAATCAGAAGCTTGCTCTTGTGGGGGCTTGATTGTGACGTAGAACCTGTTGATGGTGTCCCGAGGCAAATCCTCCAGGCGACACCGACAGCAAGTCATCAAACTGGGCTTGATTCTGTCAGAAGCACTGCTGAAAGTCTCCGTAATCCAGGTTCAGTTTCTGGAGGAGTTTATGAGCTCAGAGCTGGATGCTCCTCTGAAAGGATGCAGTGGACTCAGACAGGACCCTAAACGTATCTACACTGTTTTTCAGTCTCCATAAAGCACATTAACACTGTTATTTTCTTAAAAAAATGCA